TAAAAAAAGAACGTCCCCAAGATAACACTGCTAGATATAAGCGGAGAATAATCCTTATTCGCTAGGAGAATAAAGCGGTATGATAATCATGTCTCGATTTGGGTTTTGGGTTCAGGGTTTTGGGTTTAGCGTACAACTTCAGTTTTTGTCAGTGCTGCTAGTACTACTGTCCATGAAAAGACCCCTTCACGCCTGAATTATGGGTTCCGGAACCACCGCCGCTCCCTGCTGGGCTTCTCCTCGATTGAGCTTATTTAGAGCGAGCTGCATTTAGTTTACGCAGCAACTTCAGGGTGGTGGTGTAGTTGCAGTGGTTATGAGATCCATGGCTCAAACCCCACCAAAACCCTCGCCATAAGGGCTGGAAATAAAAGGGAAATTCAGAAAAGAGGCCCTTCACACCCCGAACCCTACACCATGAGCCCTTGTGAAACGTAGGACGCAGGAAAGGGCAGCCAAACCCTAAATCCTAACCACCAATCCTGAAACCCCTAGACCCTAAATCCCTAAATCCCTAAACCCCTAAATCCTAACCCAAATCCTGAAACCCTCAAACCCTACATGTTGGGTCATTTCCCCTTACAGTAACTGTTACCACAATGGGTTATAGGAGTTATAAGAACCCCCTTAATAAGGCCCCTTTGAGGACAGTTACTGGGAGGGGGAATGACCCAACCTACATGCTAAAACCCAAATCGTGCAGACCGAGCTTCTGCAGGAGTTGTGTGGGCGAAGGGCTGCCCCAGCCGCCTTGCTACGGGGGCTTTCTCTTTGACACGGTTTAGGGTTTAGGGTTTAGGGTGAACCCATAGGACCCAAGGGAGATGTGTCTCTCTATGTATATGTATGTGTATGTGTACGTGTATCCATACGTGTATATACATATGCGTGTACATCTACATCTACATATACAAATACGAATGCATATGCATATACATATACACACCTCTGTAGATGCATATGTAAAGAAATGTGTGTGTATGCATGCAGATATACAGGTCTATGTCCATATATAGCACATCTATTTGCACTGGCTACAGTATAAATGCATTATTCGTCCCAGTTGAGGATTGTGTAAAGACGACTTTGATAAACTTCAATATGACTTGGTAGTTTCCCAAAATAGGGGGACCCCAATATAGACCCCAAAATACTATAATCCCTAGTATGGGCACCCCCAAAAAGGTACCCATAATTTTGGGAAACCCCCACTTGCATTTGGGGGTCCAGGGTTCAGGACTTGGGCTTCTGCAATGTCAAGTTGGATAGGGTTTAGGGTTTGGGGGTTTAGGGTTCAGGGTTTAGGGGTTTAGGGTTTTGGGGGTTTAGGGTTTAGGGATTTAGGGTTTAGGCTTTGGGGTTTAGGGTTAGAAGGACCATGTAGGCCGCTAAGCCCTGTTTCCTTCTCCTAAACCCTCACCTGCATGGGAAGTGGCAACGGAATAGGTGAGCATTAAGTTGTGGCAAAGGATGCTAAGAGCTACACATGCAATCACATTGCTGGACGTGCCCGGACAAAATTCAGGACAAGGTGGCGTCCTGGACCTCTGCATTTGCAGAAGGCAAGTGAGGCAGATCTTGATGCTGCTTCAAAATACTAAAAGGCAAGCCATTACGCTGTACCTTCACCATTACTGCTGTACAGAATAGTGAGAACAGCCACGCTGCCTTCAAACGGATTAATAATGTATCTCAAATAGGCCTGCTTTTCAGCCTAGTCAAGCTGCGTTCAAGTGTATTGTCCTTCTACTGTACCTTGACCATGCCTGCTTTGCAGGAGCGTGTACCAAGCAAGCTAGCTACACCTTTGCAATGTGCTACAAAGATTCCACATAAATGCAATCTGCCCCAGCTTCATCAAACCTTACGTGCATCAGCGGCAGCACAGACGCACTGGGTGTCGCTTCCGGAATGGCCTCGTTGCCCCCAAATTCATCATGCTTAGTAGGTGTCGCCATGTCCTCTGCGGAAGTCTCCTCGGCCACGACAGCAACTGTGTCCTCCAAAGTTGGGAAGTCCCATCGTGCAGTCTCCATAGGCGGCTGCGCCGTCAGAATAACAGACATGTTCAACTTGCGCCCATTGCGTTGCAAGGGAAGGTCCTGGCATGAAACACCGTGCCACCAGTCCCGAACATGGACAGCCGCGGATCCCAAGGATTTCGAGCCTGCAAAGACAGTAACCAAAATCAGATGGTCTTCCTCCAATCCTGCCAAACAGATTCCTTCAGCTGCACTCTCCCCATCCAACTCCCGTGCTTTCACGGTAGTTGAAGCCTTCGGGTGACCTGGAACCTGACAGTTGAACCGGATGTCTTTGAGTTTTGTGTAGATGGCAACCCTTTTCAGGATGAGCTTATAGGTCTTCTCATGACCCGAGGTGAAAGGCAATGTAGTGCGTCTTGACTCCGCGTCCACGCAGGCGGCCACAAGCAAGAAGGCGCAAACCAACACCTCTAGCTGATTCTGAGACTCTCCGCACACCCTCTGCATGAAGAACAGATTTGGCCATCTGACGGTTTCTATTGGGATCCTTCCTTTTGAGCCCTAGAAGACTTCTGCCAAATAGGCCCCAGACACCGCGGGGCCAACGCATAGTGTCCTTATCACGCCAGTGACCGCGGAAATCAGGAAGTCTACTCCATCCAGGGCACTGACCGAGGAGATGAAGATGCACACCTAGGGTTTAGGGTTTAGGGTTTAGGTTCCCAAGTAACCCCTTAACGACCTTGTTCCTAGTGGTCAGCATTAGCAAGGAGACGCAACATGAAAAAGGAAAAGGGTACTACTGGCGTACCCAGACACAGTGACAACGGACAGGGCGAAGTACATGAGAATGAAACCCCAAAAGAAGATGCGAGACACTGCTTTGAGTTGGGTTCGGATCAGCTTCAGCTGGATCACCTGGGTTTCTGTAAGGAACAAAAATTAAGTTACCATAGCTCGTTCATGTAATGATTGAACCCTAAACCCTAAACTCTGAACTCTAAACCCTACACCCTAAACAAAATCCAGACACTTGCACTGCAAGTATGGGCAAAATGCCAATCACCGCACCAACCCAGGCCTAGGGATTTCAGAGCTTTGATTGGGTGTAGGGTTTAGCTGTCATTTAGGGATTTACCTTTTAGGGTTTCGGGCTTAATGATTTAGAGTTTAGGGATTTAGGGTTTGGGGTTTTAGGGTTCAGGGATCTAGGGTTTAAGCTTTTGGGCTTGCGGATGGGCCCTTCAAGGTGCGAAATCTTTTTGCAGTTGGTCTACCTACATACGAATATGTACTAGGTTCCCCAGTAACCCCTTAACAATACCGGCACCCTTTTGCCTAATATTCAGTTTTAATAAGGAAGCTCCAAAATAAGAAGGGAAAAGGGTTCTACTGGGGTACCTGGTAGATATATATATATATGTATATCTATATACATGTACGTATACATCTATACATATATACATACATATGCATAATCGGTTCAGGATGCATGACATAACTGCAGCAGATGCACTTTACCATACCTAGTAGTTGCTCAAAAACATATATAGATATGCATACCCCATGAAGGCGACCTCGACTATCCCTTAGAGGACTATTGCCAATATCCCCTTTAATTATCCAGATCGAGACCATGTACGGATCAGCAGTTGTGACAGTGAGCACATGTCACAAACAATGAAACTCCCCCATCCCCCCATGACCACCCGCTCGCGTCGGAAGGAGTGTCGACGATGTTAAAACCCTAAGCCACTATCGTTACAGGAGGGGACTGAAAAGCGTGTTTCCAACATCGTGAGTCTGTTTTAGGAGCTCTATTGGGCAATTTCCAAAAGTGTGGGACCCCACATGTACCTCCTATAACAGAAGGGTACAAGCTTCGGGTTTAGGGTTTAGGGTTAGGGGCCCGCCCAGAAGGAATCCACAATTTTTGGAAATCCGCATGTTGGGACTTCCGGTTTGAGAAAAATGTTGCCAGAGTAGCTCAAGTGGCAACCACAGCACCACGCACGATCATCTCCACCAAGCCTTTCGATGCCTCACCTACGTTTTTTTCGAAATTGGAGGGCTTCAACATAGAAAGCGTTAGATTGTAATGTGTACTATAGGGACTCACAAAAAGGGGCCAAAGCTTTTGGTAACCCTAATCCTTCATATCCTAAACCCCTTTGAAACCACAGTTTCCATTTCATTTTCCATATTTGCCCACTTGGTTGAGAATTGTTTTGCTGTGGGGGGGGGGATTATAGCCCAACATCCTATATAGTCCATATACTATAGTGGTTTCCATTTTCATCTCCACTATGACCTAGAGTTGAAAGTCTAGGGGGTTAGGCCTGGATTGCGTGAGGTAGAAGCATGAACCCGAACCCTTAGCACCAAACCCAAATCTTAACATGCGGGATTTTGGCTCTCAGCCCATCTAGACAACACGCAGGAGGATTTGACTTACCCAGCCCGCAAAATGAGGACCCTGTGACTATCATATGCCCGAAAAGGATCCTCGTTATTACCTAACACAAACTCGCAAAATCCCTATGGTAATCAACCCCTGTATAACCTCGTTTGGCACTTTCCATTTGCTGTCCTTATGACATTTCATTCCAGTTGGGGTTGCCCAAACACCCTAAACCCTAATTCCCTAAACCCTACGTCCCTAACCCTAAAGCCCTTAACCTGCACCTAAAACCCTAAACTCTGAAACCCTACACCCTGAACCTAAACCCTGAAGCCCTAAACCCTTAACACTAAACCCTGAAGCCTGAAACCCTAAACACTAAAACCCCAAACCCTAAACCTTAAACCCTAAAACCCTAAGCCCCAAAGCCCAAAGTTCCACAAAACCCTGAACCAGCTTTTTAACACTTGAGTAGTGTTTTTTTGGTGGTTGAACCTAGTAAGATTATATTCCTTATATGAAATACTATACCCCAAAAGGAGGAGATAATCTTACTCTAAATTGGGTACCATAGTATCCCCAAATAAAATACTACTCACTTGCCCTAGGCACATTCAGACGGAAGCTCTGCAGCTAAGGAGGTCGTGCTGTAAAAGATGGCAACCAGCGCAAGGCTGCTCCATACTTTCGCCTTCGAAGGTTCCGTTTACAGGTGTTTAGGGTTTTAGGGTTTGGGGTTTGAGATTAAGGGTTTGGGGTTAAGGGTTTAAGGTTTCTAGGGGTTGTATAGGGGTATGTAACCCATGTATGGTGATATAGAGGGTTGAAGTTTACGGGAATGTCTTCTTCTGATAGAAGAGAAGCCCAGGAGAGGGGGTTCAAATGCGGGAAAGCTTATATGCGCGATAAATAAAGGTATATAAGGATGATGTAGAATTGGTGCATAACTCTTATGTAAGGTCCCTACAGAGTAATTCCCCTCCTGTCATGTAGGGGCCTTCATAATCACAAACATCACATTGAGGATTGTGTGAGGTATCCCTATACAACAGGAATAAGAGGAATCCAATTTTAATATCTATGTTCTGTTCCACTTGATTCCCCCTCATTGGGGTCATATCCCTGATGCCTAAACCCTGAACTGACCTGCATTGCCGCGCATCTCTCCAACGACGATGAGTGCACGATGGGATAGGAGAAGTTCATCCAGCCGTTGAAAGAGCGGAAAGACAGATTTACGCGGGTAAGTAGGCTGCATGTGTAGAATTTGTCTAAGATGTTGCGCGCACGCTCATGTGTCGCCGTGTAACCTCCGGTTGCACAAGGGGCTATACAGTGATACATAAGGATATACAGGAATATGTAGGGGCAAAAAGGCATAATGAACATCAAATGAAAAATGACATGAACAGCTAAATGGAAACTACCCTACTACAGGGATTATCTAGAAAAAGTGTAGCCTCCGATGGCATAGAGCTTCTTCAAGAAGGGAAGGTCCACGCCCATCGACGCAAGGAGGATCTTGGAGTGCAAGTGCTTGAGGAGGAAGTTCTTCAGTGTCGTGGCGTCAAGAGTCACCTTCTCCTCGATCAGAGTTTAGGGGGTTAGGGTTTGGGGTTTGGCGTTTAGGGTTCAGGGTTTAGGGTTCAGGGTTTGGGGTTTAGGGTTCAGGGGTTTGGGGTTGAAGGTTTCCTCCTCTACTGCTGATTTTGAGCCTGCAAGACTAAGATCTTCACCATTCCAAAATTAAAGTACGTCGGGATTTTAGGATAGACTACTCCACTGAAACTAAAAGTTTCGAGCAAACTCAATCCTCTGGAAGCTCTTTGCTCCTCATCTTGTGGAGCTCCACCTGGGGGTTTCCCAAAATTAGGGGTACCCTTTTGGGGGTCCCAATAATAAGGACTATAGTATTTGGGGGGTCTATATTGGGGTACCTTATTTTGGGAAATTACCACCTAGGTTGCTGATAGGGAATTGAAACTACATTGCCATGATATTGTCATATGCCTTACTTGTACTGGTAACTTAATTTAAGTTCCTTGAGGAGTCTTATTTCTATTACGTAGCGCATATATGACCTCAGTTTCCGCTTCATGTTCTTTTTCCTTCTCCATTTGAGTTTCTGATATGGTAAGTACATGAGCTAATATCCCCCTTAATAGCCCCCAGAATACTTATACAGCCCCCTTTAAGGAGTTTAGATTATAACACGCATTAAGGCAATTTCATGCAAGTTCCTGAAAAGCAAGCCAGCCGCTTGTCGGTTAGATTCCCAGCTGCGCAGCAGCTGCGCGCGATCCTGGCGATGCCGGTGGTCTAGGAAGGCAGCCACTGCCAGGAGCCCAATACCAACGAACCTGTTTGGGGGGGAGGGCTTAGGGTTCAGGGCTTAGGGTTGGCAATGGTAAACGAAATCCGAACTACAACCTGATGTAGAGCTCAGGGCTTAGGACCTAGGACCTCCTAAAGACCTGCGATGCTGCAGCTTTGTAACTTCCCTTTGGGAACTATCAATGGCTCCGGATTCACCCTGAACCCTAACCCCAGAAATCAAAAAGTTCCCCACGTAGCCCCAGAAACAGCGTGAGCCAGATTGCAATCGCTGGCGGCCGCGTTACCCATGATGTCTCCAGCAGGGACTGCAGACCTGTGGGTACTATGGCTTTAGCTCCTAGGGTTTAGGGTTTAGTTCATGTACCTATATGGTATACACCTGAGTGTCGTCTTTGTGGTTAAACCTAGTAAGATTATATTCTTTATATAAAATGAAATAAAATACTATACCCGAAAAAGAGGATAGAATCTTGCTCTATAATGGGTACCATAATATCCCCAAATAAAATACTACTCACCTGGGGCCCCAAGTGAATCTGAAAATGTATGCACTTCAGAGCCTAGGTGGATACTACATGAGCAACAGTCAATATTTCCTACCCAATTTAATGGACATGGGTTCCATATTAGGGACTATATTAAGGGCTATGCTGAACCCTAAACCCTAAACCCTGTGGGTCTAGACCTTTGCTGAACTGAAGCCTGTGGCTTAGAATGTGCCATAGCTCTTGCGCAATGAGACAGAACTGTGCTCTTTTCTGCGCTGTAGAAATTTCCAAACATGAGGGGCACACGTGTCGGGGCTCTTTATCATGAAGCCCATCTGTTGCGGTGAGTGTTCCATTGGAAACTACGATTTGACAGGGCTATCTGGGGGGGGTACCTTAAGTTGGGGATTCATCCCTATATACCCAGCATGCGATGCTACCCATATGAGGATCCCCAGAACAGGACCTCTCAACAGCTACTTAAGGAAAGTCAAAGAAGTTGAGATTGTACGCAAGCCCCTACTTCCGGTAAAGTCATATTGTGGCCCTTTTATGCTGTAACCCCTACATAACCCTTGTATATCTCCCAAGTTCCTTCACAGCCATAGCAACCTAGCCATTCAACAATGAGATGCCTTCCTGCGAGAAGATAGCGGCCGCATTGCTGCAGATGAAGGTCAAGAACATCACCTTACTGGATCTGGGGCCCTGAAAAACAGATTAAAGTTAAGGGCCATGTAAGCCCCATATGGTTTTATGACATTGTGAATCCCAGAATATACGGCCAATTATGGGGTTTTAAGGGTGTAGGTATTAAGGTCTAGGGTTCAGGGTTGAGGGCTTAGAGGCTTAGAGGAATGGATCCTTGTTGGCTTCGCTTGTAGTATAGTTGTAGAGGAGACATACTAGAATTACTTTGGTGGATATGTAGGATTCTAGACTAGAAGAATGCTCAAGGGGGAGTGAGGGAGTGGATTGCGGTCATGTTCCTTTCATGAGCAGCCCCACAAACCTAGAACCCATTCCTTCTATTCTATTTAGCACGTTCTCGTGTTTGTTTACCCTTCTTCCCATCACATAACATAAGCTATTGATTTGTTAGTCTTATTGTCTCACTCCATGTGAACAGTACCTGCGTTCCCCCCTCCACTCCCTCTTCAAGCACTTGTAAGTCGGAGGAAAGCGAGGCATGGGTCCGTACATTAGCGCATTAGCGCGAATGAGTAGCGTTTTTTGGTGGTTGAACCTAGTAAGTTCATATTCCTTGTATAAAATACTATACCCCAAAAGGAGGGTAAAATCTTATTCTATATTGGGTACCATAGTATCCCCAAATAAAATACTACTCATATATGCAATCGCCAAGAATCTTGTTCCACTTCGCCATTCCATACAAAAAGCCCTAAACCCAAAGTCCTACCATATACCGCCGCTGCTCCCATGTTGCTTTCCAATCCTCCTAGATATCCTACTAAACCCTACTTGGAGGTCCATTGTATTTATCATTTATTTAGTACCTGAAGGTATAACTTTAGTATATCTAGTTACGCTTATAGTTAGTGATAACTACAGTTGCTACGTAGGTTATAAGTACAACAGACCAAGTACCCCACACCGTGAGCCCTGCTAAACGCCGGTAAGCCGCGGCAAAGAGCGAGAGGTGGCTGGTGGCGCAGGTGATGGTGCCGTTGGTCGTGCCTACCACGCTTGAGGGGTCAGGGGCTCTAATACCTACTTGGGGGGTCAGGGGGACTTAGTAATAATACATGAGAAAATGGAAACTGCTATATATTATCATGTAGGGTTTAGGGTCAGGGGAACTTAGTAAGTAGGTTAAGAATGGGGATAACTAGGTTCCTGCATGGATTATAAGCTAGAATTCTAGGGGTTACCAACCTACTTACTAAGCCCCCCTGACCCTCCAAGAGGGGCTTCCAAAAATTGGGGGGTCCTCGTAACGGGAATTGTAATATATTTGGGGCTACAGAAGGGGATCCTAGAGTTAGAAACTCCCATAAGCTACGAACGAATATACCGCACCCACAAAAACAGCTCAGGGCGTCTACTAACCACGTGTACTTAAAGAGTCTCCTGAACATGAAAAAATTTTAGAGCTCCCTAAGCCCTAAACCCTGTGGCTCCGAGCCTACCAAGGAGAGACCCTCCGTGGACCAGTCGCGCAACTCCTCATCCCAAAAGACGCACGATGGACCTCTGGGGTTTAGGGTTTAGGGCTTAGGGTGAGCTGTTACGTATGGACCCTTACCCTTTGTAGGGGGAATCTCGGGTTCCCATAAAAAGAGGCAGTGTGTGTGTGCGTGTGTGTCCCACATATATATATATAAGGTACCCCCCCCCCCAAACCTACCTTTTACATG